AGTTCGGTGGCAGATTGGCCTAGCGGGCCCACTTGATCTTAGTGGAGCTGCACCGCCGCGCTCGAGGTCGATCGCGGGTCGATGGCGCCCCCCCTGGCGGCTCCGCCCCCCTCCCACCTCGGCGCGGGCGACCAGAGTAAGGGCGCGGAGCATTGCGGCATACTGGTTATCTCACGGTGCTTTGTTCAGCTCAAGCGCCCCGGGCGGCCTTCATCATGGCAGGGGGGTTTGAACGTGAGCCCGCTCGAGATGCGACGTTCTGAACGCGCTGAACGACGCGCGCGCGTCGACGGCGGCACCGCTTGAGCGAGCGTGCTTTGCCGGGGGAAGTCGCGCGATGGACTTCTTCGATTTTTCAATGCACTTCGAGGGCCTGGCAACGGGGGTTCGAAGTCTGGGAGGATTCAGTTTCTCTACGCGCGGGCGAGTTTTGCTGGGGCTCGAGGCTGATCCATGGGCCGCAATGGAGCTGCGCATCGTCGCGCCAGAGCAATTCCCCCAAAGAGTGCCCCATGGCAGTACCGAGGGCACCGCCTTCGCATGATCAGGCATTTCGAGAGCGCGAGCGCGCGCGAGGAACTCGCGGTTTGCATTGGCGCCATCTAAGTTGGGCGCAGCTCGCGGAGAAGCAGATGGCTGACATATTCCGTCTTTCTGATGCCAAGCGTCGGGCGGCAGCTGGAAGAGGAGAGTTTTCTCGCGCGCAGCTCCCTGGCGGCAGCCGCTCGGAAGTCGCCGGGTCGTGGCGCTGAAGGGGATATTGTCGTTCGCTGTGGGCGCGGAGTTTCGATGGCCGCGCAGGATCTCACTCGCGCGCTGAAACGGGATTGGGGCTTGGGCCCGCAGATTTGCGACTCGATGCGCGCGCGCCTTAGAGCACCTGGAGAATAATCATCTCAATGGGGGAAATGCTTGGTTTCTTTCCTGTTATCGGATTGGTCGCGAGCGGCGCTGGGAAGATGAGCGGCTTCGCGATTGCAGTTGGTTCGCGGCGCGAGAGGCCGCGAATGTCGAGCAGCGGCGCGAAGGCGGGGGCGAAGGAGCGGCGGCGCACTCTCGACTTCCATCGGGCAGGAGGATGCGAAGGCACATGGGCGGAGCGAACTACTGCCGCGCGGGCGGAGGTGCACCCCGCGACGGGCACGACGTCGCATGCGGCGACGCTGGGCGTGGACTTGCAGCGGCTGAAGATCTGGGGCCATGCCCAGGGAAAAGCTCGTTTGAAGCTGGACTACGCCTGAATTATATTGAAGACGAGGGGCGGATGACACCTCTCGAAGTGGACCAGGCCCGGAAAGCGACCCTTGCGTTCCAGGAGAAAACAGCTTCATGCATCGGCACTTTGGGACTGCGCAACATGGCGCTGATGACCGACGAATGCCTCGCCGCATGTGGTGGGGCAGTGGCGGATGCAGAGAGGGCTTTTCAGATGCCCCCGACGCCCGAAAGGGCCGCAAGTTCGTCGGCTCGATGACGGACGCGCTAAGAGCGGACAACAGATGTCAGCGAGGAGTGCAGAGGGCATGGTTCATGGGCAATGCCAGGGCTTTGCCGCTTCGCCACTGCAGGGAGAAGCTCGGATCGCGCAGCTTGGACGCAGTCTTTTTCGGCCGAAGCGCGGTGAGCTCTCGCGCGGCGTTCAGCGGCGGCCATGCTCGACTTGAAGGGAGATGCGCTTGGCGCGATCGCCTCCAGGTTTATCAACGCGAACCAAGGGATTATCGCAGGTTGCTCCGACGCCGCGACGATGTTGATGTTGTTCGCTTGGGTTGTTTGCGATCAAGCTTGCGCCCTGTAGCGTTCGCTCGCGATCAGCGCGGCAGTGGGCGATGGTTGTCTGCGGGCGTCGGGCACGGGGAAGGGCGCAGTTAGCGTCGGCATAGCGGTTGCGAAGCTGTTGCGCAGGTCATTGGTCAAGCTCGGCCCAGAGCTCAGTCCGCAAAAGGGCGCGTCATCGCGACATCACCCAGGATGGCTAAGGAGGTGGAGATGCGCTCAGCGATTCGACCTTTCGACGTGCTAGAGTAGTCAGGCAACATGGACATGGCCGGCGCATGGGGGGGGGGGGGGGGGCACGTCACGTCCCTGCTCGGAGAGTGCGAGTCCGAGCTATGGGCAGATGTGTGGCACGATTTCGACGACTGGCTCAAGAAGGCAGGCAGATGGTGATGCTGTTTCGCTCTGGAGGGCTGGCATCGGTAGCTTGCGCGACGACTGTGCAGGCCAAGAGCGACGCCCAGCTACGGATAGTTAGACCGCTCTCTGGACATGCACAATTCGGATCAGCCAGAGGAAGGCGCAGAAGCAGAGAGTTCTTCAATCGCAGTGCCCGAGGTCAGATCCTTTTTGCATGCCCCAGGAGAGAGCTCGCCAGATGCGCGAGCAAGCGGCATCTCTTACACTGAGAACGGTGCTGGGGATATTGCGCCGCTGCTCTCGATGAACATGGGCGGACGTGGACAAGGAGTATTATGAGAGGCCGATTGGCCTCGCTCTGAGTGCTGATACTGGGCACCCAGTGCGTAGGTTCAGGGGGACATGGGCTTGCGCGAGGTGCGCAGAGAATCGTGCTCGCCTGTGCGACCTTGTGAAATAGAGCTGCGGAGGGCCCTTGGGGGTCCATGCGGCTCACGAGTCGCGCCGACTTTGGAAAACGGCCCTGGTGGTTTGGTGTGCGGATTGCCGAGCTTGATGTGTCAGTAGAACATTCATGATAGCCAAACACTGTGTAGGCAAACCTCCTCGGGGTTCTCCAAGGCACTTTACGAGGGAGTACATTATCCAGGGGAAGGGTCCGTCGGGTGACAAGGTAGGCAATGGTTTCCACAGGCCTTTGCCGATCATTTCGAGTAGCTGATTCATTGAACTCGCGGTCTATGATATTTCCGGTGTTTTGGTTTTTGCCTCGTTTTCGGAGCTCCTCGTCGTCACCAGAAACCTCGGAAGCCTCCTCTTCTTCCTCCTTATCGCTGCTCCTCTTTCGTTTTTTGGGTGGGTGCCGGCAGACGGGTTTCATAATCGTGATATACTGTTCGCCCAGGGCCGCCAGGAAGATCGGGGAACAGGGATTGTTTTCGGTCCCCATTGGCCGTCAATCATCGACCCAGGATGGGAAAACCGATCGGGATGGACCGACGCAAGGGGTGCGGCGATCGTTTTTCTGTAGATTCTGGCGGGGCCCGTTTTTCCAACGCCGATCCACGATATTTGCGCGAACCCCCGAAAGTTCTTTCCCCCTGATATCTAATTGCGGATATATTGTCATTGCGTGTGATTTTTCCGGTTTCACCCTTTCCACTCAAGAACCTTTCAGACACACATCCACACTCACACTCACACTCATGTTCGTCCAGTCGGATTTAATCATACTTGATGCCGGTCATATTCACATTCATTTTTGCTCAGACATTCCAGGCCCACTCACACCCAGGGTATACGTGCCAACAGCTGAACATCGAGAAAAGTAACAAACCGAAGGCTCATGGTGATGACGAGGCAGCGGCATCGGATGAGGACCCCCCTGCTTTGCCAACGGCGTGCCGGTGCACCGCTGGTCCTCTGCGCCACGCGCGAGCGGGCCTTCGCCGCACCACCACACCATTTGTCAAGCCGGTGTTTCGGCGGTCGCAACGCCCAGTCACCGGCGCGCCCTCGCTGCGCCCGCGCTGGCCGGCGGCGGCCGCCGGCGCCCACGCGCCAGGCGGCCTCCAGGGGCCCCGCTGGGGGGCCAGGCACGGCCATAGGCCCGGTCATGCCTCGAGCAGCGGCGAAACGTTTTGGTTTGTCTATAGGCCCACCAAAGAACGTTCTAAGAAACTAGTCAGCGCAAGCTGTTCTTGGAACAGTTTTGCCTGGGACTGTTTCATTTTAGCACGTCGGGTTCACGTTCTGAGAACATTGTTGTTGTATTAAAGCACTTCTTTGGTTCAAAGAATATTTCGTGGTAGACCTATAGGAATGCCGGGACGGTCGGTCCCTGCTCAAATGCTGCTCCTGCTGCAGGCCTTTGGGGCGCGGGCTGGCATTGCCTCCCCCCCCGGCCATTTCCCTGGCCGATGCCACGGGGGACCTCCCCTGATGTTGGCCCAGAGCGTGTTTACCCCTTCTGAGCTCCACCGATAGCACGCAGCTTGTGTCGGCTCTCGCTGCACCACCTGCGTCGACTTGAAGGGCTTCGGTGGGCAAGCACTCGTTTGCGGTAATACGGTCTGGGGGAGGGCGCCATTAATATCCCTGTGCGTCTTCATTCGCCGTTGTGGTGTCACATCGCCTGCGGAGCAAAAGTTGTGTGTGTGTGCGCGTGTCTCTCGTCCATATATTCTGCCTCCCATTTTCTTTTGCACACGTCGGCTACGTTCCACCAGCTGACCCGCTCTAGCACTCGCTGGGTTGGATCAACCGGCTGGGCAGCAAAGTGTGTATGTGTGTGCGCGTGTGTCTGCGTATCTTGGCCACCCACCGGCTGACGCTCGGTATTGATCCATGAACCTGGGCTTGCCCCGCCGCCTTACCACCCGCTGCGTTGGATCAGCTGGTCGAGAAGCAAACGAAAATGTATCTGCGTAGCTCACCACCCACCAAACCACCCCAATCCAACCCGAAGGCCCAAATTTACATTCGATTTACTGTGTGGGAGGGTCGGAGAACATGGAAACACACACGTGGAACCCGTGTACCCCCCCCCCCGACCCGAAATTCGAGTCAAATTCGGGTCTTCGGGTTGGGTTGGGGTGGTCTGGTCGGTAGTCAGTAGCTCCTGCGCCTAGTGCACCGCCGCTGGCCCGCGGCCGCGGCTGCTGAGCATCAAGATCAAGTGTGTGCCTGCGTGTGGGTCCTCGGGCCGCCCGGGGGCCAACAGCGTTGCGCGCGCTGCCATACAAGGGGACGTATCCGTGTTGCGGGTATCCCGCCTTCGCCCGCTGTGAACCGACGACTGCTCTCATCGCCGTGTCGGGAGAATTTCGGGTGTCTGCGTGTGCGTGTGCTGGCGGGGACCGCAGGAGACGGCCATCCTGCAGCGCAGCGCCACGCGCAACGGCTTCGCGTTCCACGCCGTCGGCGTGGGGGAGATCCCGGCGGCGCGCAGAAACGAGAGGGCGAGAGCTTTCGATGTGTAGGCGAAGGCGCCCAAGTAAGGGTCGGGCCCGATATGACGTCGATACGTATTGGTGTATCGCCCTTCCTTTCAAACACCCCTGGGCATCCAGAGGAGGGCCTGGCTCCAGGGGGGGCGGCCTTTCTGCGAGAATGCCCCGCCCCTCGGGAGCCCACCAGCCTTTCGAGATGCTTTTTTCGCAGACACCTGTGGAAAAGGCGCAAGCCTGTCTTCCGCTGCCCAGGCCCTCGACGACACGATTCGTCCGAGATCGTTGGCCCGTAGACCTCTCAGAGGCCCGCCGGCCTTTCGGGAGCCCTCCAGGCCGCAGACCGCCTTCCAGTAGCCCGCCAGACTTCCGAGAAGCCTTTGCCACACCTCTCGGAAGGCGCGAGGCCTAGCTTTTGCTCAAGACCACCGACCTTCCAAGAAGCCCGCAGGCCTTCCCAGAAGTCCGCCAGCCTTCCAAGAGGCCTTTCCCCTCACCCCCTGGAAGGGCGCGGGGTCCTGCCTTTGCCCAGACCTCCGAGACGTCGCCGGCCCGCGGAACGCTCGACCACTCTTCCCCCCGTGCCGCTCTTCTCCTCCGCGGCCCCCCCCCCCCTGGACGGCCCCGAGGGCGAGGGCCGAGGGTGGGGGCCAGTGGGGGGCGTCCAGCAAAAGGGGGGGGGACTGGAGGGGGGTGGCCATCACGGCCGGGGCCATGACGTCTCCCCAGGTTTCATGGCCCCTCCTCTTGTTTCAGTGCGCTCCCTGGCCCCCCACCCGTGGCCTGCGCACATGCCTCCGACTATGCTTTGCACACCCGCCAACCAGGGCGCGCCCGTCTGGGCCGCCCCCGGCCAGGGAGGCCGAGGCCTTCCTGGACGGTCCGCAGCGGGGGGCCGAGGAGCCCAGGGCTGGGCCGAGAGAAAGGGGGGCCTTGCTTGGGCGGCCCCGGGGCCGAGGGCGGGGGCCCAGCGGCCGAGGCTCGTGGGACGACCTCGGGGGCCCTTCTGTCCGAGACGCCAGATCTTCGGGGGCCCCCCAGCGGTGTGGTGACCACGCCGCGAGGTGGGTCAGCGGGGATCGGGGGTCACCGCACGGTGCTGGGACTCGGGCCGTTTTCCGAGGACGTCTCGGGCGACGGGCGCCTCCGAGGTCCCCAACCGTGCGGTGACGGACCGCGCGGCGAGGTCGGTGAGGGTTCCAGGGTCACCACGCTGTCCGTCACCACTCGATTTGGGGGGCCCGAAGATCGCATCGATGTGCTCCGAGTTCCATGATTGGCACTGGGCGAGCCGGGGGGAGGGGCGCCACCCCCGTCGACAGCCTCCAGCCGCCCCCCCCCGTCGCGGTAGCCGCTGCGCACCAGAGCTGCTCCAACCCTTGGCGCGGTGCGCCTGATGGGGCGAGGCTGGCCCCTGCTCGGGGAGCACGGGTGACCCCCACGCTCATTGTCCAAGCATCTCGGGAGGAAGGTCGAGTGCCAACGAATTGCCATCGTTGGGGGCCCGTCCGCGTGTCGTTCCTTCGTTCGTGTCCGAATGCCGAATGCGTCTTCGACAGCAAAACATTGATTGGTTCCCCACGGGGGCGTGTCACGGATACTGCTTGTGCACTCCCAACATCCCACGATTTGCCTTTCTACGCTCCGCGGCCCCGAGGCTCCTGGCCCCTTCCAGGGGCAGCTCACCTTGGGGCTTTTTTGATGGCCCCATGGGGGCTCCACATCGGGGGCGACAGAACCTGGGATGGAAAACAAGCATCCTTCGGAGCTCAGGAAAAAAAGGTTGGAGGACGTCGGCCAGCAGGACGAGAAACTGCCTATAGTACCGCTGGGCGGCGCCCCCGAACGAAACCGGGCAGGAAGAGGATGGAGAAAGTGATGACGAGGAGAAGGAAAAGGAGGAGAAGTAGTAGTAGTAGTAGTAGTAGTAGTAGTAGTAGTAGTAGTAGTAGTAGTAGTAGTAGTAGTAGTAGTAGTAGTAGTAGTAGTAGTAGTAGTTAGTAGTAGTAGTAGTAGTAGTAGTAGTAGTAGTAGTAGTAGTAGTAGTAGTAGTAGTAGTAGTAGTAGTAGTAGTAGTAGTAGTAGTAGTAGTAGTAGTAGTAGTAGTAGTAGTAGTAGTAGTAGTAGTAGTAGTAGTAGTAGTAGTAGTAGTAGTAGTAGTAGTAGTAGTAGTAGTAGTAGTAGTAGTAGTAGTAGTATAGTAGTAGTAGTAGTAGTAGTAGTAGTAGTAGTAGTAGTAGTAGTAGTAGTAGTAGTAGTAGTAGTAGTAGTAGTAGTAGTAGTAGTAGTAGTAGTAGTAGTAGTAGTAGTAGTAGTAGTAGTAGTAGTAGTAGTAGTAGTAGTAGTAGTAGTAGTAGTAGTAGTAGTAGTAGTAGTAGTAGTAGTAGTAGTAGTAGTAGTAGTAGTAGTAGTAGTAGTAGTAGTAGTAGTAGTAGTAGTAGTAGTAGTAGTAGTAGTAGTAGTAGTAGTAGTAGTAGTAGTAGTAGTAGTAGTAGTAGTAGTAGTAGTAGTTAGTAGTAAGTAGTAGTAGTAGTAGTAGTAGTAGTAGTAGTAGTAGTAGTAGTAGTAGTAGTAGTAGTAGTAGTAGTAGTAGTAGTAGTAGTAGTAGTAGTAGTAGTAGTTAGTAGTAGTAGTAGTAGTAGTAGTAGTAGTAGTAGTAGAGGAGGAGGTGGAGGAGGAGGAGGAGGAGGAGGACGAGGAGGAGGAGGAGGAGGAGGAGGAAAAGGAGGAACAGGAAGAGGAGGAGGAAGAGGAAAGGAGGAGGAGGAGGAGGAGGAAAGGAGGAAAGGAGGAGGAGGAGGAGGAGGAGGTACGCGCCCGAGAGATTCCAGGAGGAGCAGGTCTTCAGGACCACCGCGACAGTGGACAGCGAGGCACCTGGCCCCGCCCCGCAGGCGCCTGCGCGCGCCATATCCACCATGATTTCCAACACCTGATCGTTGATTTCGCGGGCCTGCGTGGCCCCACGACTACATCGACGACGGCCAGATCCACGAGCCCCGCCTGGCACAGTCGGTGCCGACTCGAGAGAGCCAACGCTCGCACGCTACTTCGGCTCCTCACGTGTCAGCAGTTTTTTGCGCACCACCACGGCGCACAGCAGCCATTTCGATTTCTACCAGCCACCATGACGCCGAAGTTGGCACCCAAGCGCCAACCCAAGCGGTACCCGCGACCACAACTAGCACAGCCCCTTGTGCGACCCAAATCAGCAGTCGGCGCAGGAGTGGCAGAATGGATAGAAGACGGCCCTTCCAGTAACTGGAAGAACGACAAGAACAGCATTCAACAAGAAAATAACCATATCAGCAAACACGAGAAGGAGGAGGACCGTCGGGACGGCAACGAAAACACGACAACACAGCATAACGCCATCATTGACGCCATCCTCTCGGACGCCATAGCCATGCGGAAGAGGGAAGCGATCAACCACCCCCAGCGGGGAAAACAACACACATATCTTCATTAGTTTCCACCGCGCGGGGGGACACGGCACTCCATATTTTCTTATCCAACCCAGTCGTTGCACTCAAGGACAACCGCGCCGAACAACCCATCGAAGACTCGCTGAACATGATCGCGCTCATGAAAGAGGTATTCTAGAACGGCTTCCTCGCCAGAGACCAGCTTGAGGACTTCGATGGGTCCAGGAAGGCGTTGAAGGACGCGAGGAATTCTGCGCAGGAGCACCTTGACCACCTGAGCGAGTACATCGCCGATATTAATAGCAAGTTCGACGGGTGCATCCAAATAAAGGGTGACATCGTTGAGGAGGACGAGGGGTCGGAGGCGGACGACGAGCACGAGGACCACGAACGGCCAATCAAAACGAGGCAAAACAGCGCCGCCCCGCACCCAGGTCGACGACATAGTGGACGACTTGGAGCACCATCGCCGGGATTTGGAACCGAGGCCGCCACCGACCGCTTTGATATCCCCATCAAAAAAGCTAGCTCCACACGGAAGAACAAACGACAGTTTCTTACCAGGACAAGGCAAAGGCCTACGCACACCAGGGGGCAGCACGCATGGCAGGCACGAGAGCAACGCAGCCAACGAGGACGCCACCGCATGGGGGTCGACATGTTCGCCGGCCAGCGGCAACAGTTAGCGCGGGCCGTCAAGGACTTGAATGCGCCATCGGCATGGCCAGGGGGGGGCACGGGAAGGAAGAACAACACATCAAGCAGAAAGCCGGCAACCGCATCGAAAAGCACGAAGGGAGCATCATCAAGATCTTTGCGGAGTCGATCAGGGGGGGGGGGGGGGGGGGGGGCGCTTGCGGTTGAGTTCGAGACAGAACGCAAGCGCATGTCCAACGCAGGACAAAGGCAAGAACGCGACCAGCGAACTTCCAGAGGCATTGGGATTGAGGAATTACGCCGCAGAAGTTAATGCCGCCATCGACGAGACCCGATGTCAGATGAGCGAGGGCACCCTCGCCATCCTTCGGCTGGAGCCACACAGGGCCGGGTCGAGATACTGCAAGACATTTCACGACGCCAGCCTGCGGAAGGGCAGGCAGGAACGGGATCATGATCGCGGGCTCCACAGCCTCGAGCCAGTGATGCACATGCAGAAGTAGCTCGAGCACAGCGAACTGCAGGACACGCGGATGACAATCATCCAGAACCGTGGACTTCGAGGAGAGCCAGGCCATCCGACTTCAGCAAGAGGAAGCCGAGACTCATCTCATCACGGGCAACGCATCCGTGGGTGCTTATGCTCGCGATCATATGGAAATGCAGAAGTAAATGCAGGTACTCGCGGAGGCGCAGGTATATTCGCAGAAAATATTGTATGAACAGATCATCTACGTGGGCACGCGTGTTGGATGATCGCGGAGAAGAACATCGACCTGATGCGCCACGTCGCGCACGTCGCGGTCAACGGGCGCCGGCAGCAACCAGCGTTGAGATCACCCGAGAGAGAGAGAGAGAGAGAGAGAGAGAGAGAGAGGGCGATGGCCTGCATGGAAACAA